ATCCAGTTTTTGGAATGAAGTCACCATGCAATCCAAGAACCATAAACTCACCTTCATCAGGTCCCTCAGCAAAACCCCAGGTGGAAACCACGTGCTCACATTCAGAAGTGGCTGTGAAATTCATCCTTGACCATTCTTCATACATAGAATCTGCAGTAGTAGCAATCTACCTTTTGTGGGCCTCTGTGTAATCCAACTACTGAAACATAACCCTGACTCGGGTGCTCTGATAAGGGATTTGAAGCCCAGAAGAGTCAATCTTTTATAAGGAACTGAGTATCTCTTTCAACACATTCAAAACAACTTGGAATTTCTTGCAATAAAAATTCAAGCATGAGGAAAACTTTCTGGGCTACAATGGAAACAGACTGTGCAACTATATAAATGCAACCAAGGTCAGGTACCAAAGCAGACTACAACAGCCATCAAAAACCACAAACAGGAGAGGCGCATGGTGGGTACACACTCGTAATCTCAACACTCTAGGAGGCTGAGATAGGAAGATCACAAATTCCAGCCCAGCCTGGGCAACTCAGGGGCTTAAAGAGAGTCTCATCTCAAAATTTTTTTTTAAGTTAGGAAGGGTGAGGCAGAGTAGCACAGAAAAATTAAAAATGATCAAGATAGATATATATGTACCAAATGTACCAAACCCCAAACTGAATATAATTACTACACAGCAAAAACATGTAATAAAAAATAGAAGCTGGGTGTGGTGGCACACAACTGTAACTGCAGCACTCCGGAGGTTGAGGCAAGAGAATCATCACAAGTTTGAAACCAGCCTGGGCTATGCAGTGAGTTCAAGGCCAGCCTGAACTACATAGCAAGACACTGCCTCAAAAAGCCAAAAAAATAAAAAATAAAATACAGTAGAATAGGCTGGAAATGTAGTTCAGTACAAAGACTTTGGGTTCATTGGGGATATAGCTCAGCAGCACAGTGCCTGCCTGGCAAGCACAAGGTCCTGAGCTAAGTCCTGGCACCAAAAAAAGAAAAAGACAATGAATCAATCAAACAAAATCCCAAACAGGCCCTTCTCTTCTCAGAGAGAACACATTCCCCATGACTCTGAGGAAATGCACCCTGCCTGTGATCTAGCAGCTATAGAATGAATGCTTGACCTATCTGCAACATTTAAATATTTTAAAAGGACCTGATGTGACACTGAACAAGAGTGTGATCCAGTCACGGGACAATGCCTGACTGGGAAGACCTAAGAAGTGCATGTCCAAAACTTACAATTTCCACAGCAGCGCTTCCTCCCCTATGCACTGCCCCCTGAATATGCCTTCAAAACAACTGTGCTGTGCATCCCATTACCACCTGTCATCCCAAGGGCAGACCTGGAGCACACCCACGCGCCATGGTGTTGCACCTGCTGAGAGTCATTTCTGCACCCAGTATTCCTCAGCAGTGATTTGCTCTCCTCACAGAGCTAAAAAAAACCCACGGGATTTGGTCCAAGACAATTCCACAGAAGGTGTCTGTCCTTGGGAAGATGAAAGTGCAGGTTGAGGCCACTCTCTCCAAATACATCATCTCAGAGGGGAGTGGCTGCCCTCGCCCCTCATTTCTGTAGTGTTTCCACACTAATCACCAGAGTTAATCAGGTGCCCCAGAGCACCCTACCCCAGGCTCAGGTGACTGAGAATGAGGACATACACTGAAAAGGGGAATACACATGTCCAGGACCCACCTATTCTTCTTCTCTGAAACCTTGCTGAAGGCAGTCTAAAGGCTGGAATCTGACTCAAGGAGCTGCCCACATCTCTTTCAGGCCCCACATCTCTGCAAACTGCTTCTGTGATCCTTCCTAGTAAAATGCATGTTAAGCCAGGGATACAGCTCAAGCAGCACAGTACCTGCCTGACAAGCACGAGGTCATGAGCTTGATTCCTGGTACATAAATGCATGTTAAAACAGCAGAACAACTAGGTGTGGTGGCACAGGCCTATAATTCCAGCACTCAGGAGGCTGAGACAGGAGGACTGCCATGACTTTGAAGCCAGCTTGAATTACAGAGTGAGAACCTTTCTCAAAAAAAAAAAGGAAAAAAGGAAAAGGACTGGGGATGTAGCTCAGTGCATAGGCCCTGGATTCAATTATGAATACTGGGGGAGGGATGAGGGACAGGCCCTCATTTCCATCTCTTATTAGCATGAAGACCTCACCTTGCCAGTTTAGGGAGTTGTTTTTTTTTTTTTTTTTTTTTGTACTGAGAATCAAACTCAGGACCTTGTGCTTGCCAGGCAGGCACTTGTGCCACTGAGCCATATCCCCGGCTCACCTTGCCAGTTTAGTAAATGCTATCAGGCCATCACTGGATGCAAAAATGCATCATGCACCATGCCAGATGGGCCACATGGGAGGGGGAGGGGACTACCAAAGAGTGTGACAACTACAGGCCATTTCTTCCAATGCTGTCTGTCTCCTCATCATCTTCCCCCAAGGATGCAGCACCCTTGCAAATGATTGAGCATAATAAAGCAGGAAGCTGCTCTGCCCAATCCAATTCTCCCTTTAACAATACCACTGCACGTTTCTTTTTTCCAAAGGGACAGTTCCAAGCCTCACCCCAGCAGAGCATCAGCTCTCAATGAGAACAAACCAGAGCTTTCCAAACAGCTGCTTTCTGACACCACATGGCTAAAAGAGGCCCCAGGGGTCACAGAGTGCAGTCATCTGCCAAAAAAATATGTGTGCTATCCTTCCATATCAAGGTATTTCTCCTGTTCCAGCATGGTCAAGACACTCAGGCTCAACTCCTGCAAAGACACTCCGGGCAGTGGCACCAAAGACTTCCTTATCCCAAGTGCTACACCGAGGTGCCTGGCAGACCCTCTCCTGAGGGCTCCTCACCTAAGGGACAGGGTGATAGCAGGGTCTTTGCCAGATTGCACTCTTACTTAACCTCTTTCATCTCAGTTTCTCCACCTGTAAAATGGGAGCCTTATCTACATCACAATATGAATGAATTATATAGCAAAGTATCTGCCTTCAAGTAAGGGCTTGATAAATAAGATTTATATCCTCTGGCTCGTTAATGGTACCCTAGGGTAGGCCATTTTCCACCTTCCCATTTTTTACTGCTCTCTCTGTTGGCTGTTACAAGTATAAAGACTCAAGTGAAAACTGGGACAAGGGCCTTCTCAAACAGTTCATGTATGCCAACTTAAAGTCCAGATACAAAGGGCTGGGGATTTAGCTCAGTGGCACAGCGCCTGCCTGGCAAGCACAAGGTTGTGAGTTCGATTCCCGGTACCGGAGAAATAACAAACAAACAAACAAACAAAATAAAAATGTCCAGATACAAACCCACTTCAATCATGCACTATCAGGCCTCAGGTGAAAACAGAATACTGGGACTATTTTCAACATTACTGAAAAAAATATGACATATGGTGAAAAAGACATAGCTTTGGTCCTCTTATTTCCTTAATGTGGAAATCTAGCCTCTACTCTGTAATTCTTTTCTGCTTGCTAGATTCCTGTTTTTACATTTAAAAATGCCACCTGATGAGAAGCAAACTGCAGAAGTCAAATTTCCATCATCTGGAAGTGCCAAGGCCATGAAGAAAGTGTGCTCTTTTCTTCTTTACCAACACCATCAAATGCACACCTTGCACTGAAGCAACAACACTGTGTAAAAGTTCACTTTATAAACTTCATGACAGCTGTGCATGGTGGTGCACACCTGTAACCCCAGCACTCAGGGGGCTGAGGCAAGAGGATCGCCTCGAGTTCAAAGCTAGCCTTTACATAGGGTAGGCCGGGCGTGGTGGCACACACCTGTAATCCCAGCACTAGGGAGGCTGAGGCAGGAGGATCGTTAAGAATTCGAGACCAGCCTGGGCTACAACGTGCGCTCAAGGCCAGCCTGAACTGCATAGCGAGATAGCCTCAAAAAGGCAAAAAAGAAAAAAAACAACCATGATGACTGTTGCTCCACCTCTACTGAGCTTCGCTAGCAGCCTAATTTGCGTTTTTTAAAAACCCAGTCCTCCATCCCCCCAAAGTATAACCATAAGTGCTTAGAGGCAAAGATATTCCTTTTGCCTCTATTTCTCTCAACTGGACAGGTCCTCCTTCTTTTACACTTTAGATTATCACTCATTGGGGCTGGGGATTTAGCTCAGAGGCAAAGCGCCTGCCCGGCAAGCGCAAGGTCGTGAGTTCGGTTCCCGGTACCGGAAAAAAACGAAAAAAAAAAAGATAGATAGATAGATAGATAAATAAATAAATAAATAAATAAATAAATAGATTATCACTCATTTCTACAATACAAAGTCGTACCCTAAGTCCATGGATGAGCTGCAGAAGACTCAAGAGCCTCCTGAAGTAATTACAAAACTCTGTGCAGCTGTGCACACTTCGCAAACGAGGACCTGTCCTATACCTTCTGTCAGATTCCCAAAGGGCCGAAGACCCTCCAAAACCATTAAGAAGCCCTACCACAAAGCTGCATCCTGGAAGATAAGAAGCTAAGTAAGCTTTTCGGGTCTTCAGTAAGATTTTTCCATTTTTATTGTTGTTTCATTGCTGCTGTTGATTTTAGTTTTTTTTCTGGTGCTGGGGAGTGAACTCAAGGCATACCCCCAGCCCGAGAGGATTTGTCTTTTGAACCAATGTTGCTGGCTATGTGACATTCTCTATCGCCCACCTCACAAGATATACATGGTTCCAAGATTTAACAAAGGGTACATATAAAAACCTTTAGGATACTTTTAGCAACAAAAAGAAACACAGAAATATTTCATCCAACAAGTGGTTGGGTTTTTCCCCCCAAATCCCTCCTCTCTGTCAAGCTCTCGCTCCCCTCGGTAAGGCCTCAGAGCCCGGCCTCCCGGAGCTTCCCACCTCATACAGCAGAGCCAATAGCAGCAGGGGCACTCAAACGCCTTGGCTGAGAGAAGAGTACCCTAGGATGCCACAGCACCCTAATCAAGAACTGAGAAACCAGGCCGGGAGCATCAGGTGCCTAGGAGAGGATACCGCACCTTCTGCTTCCCGGGACCCCGGTTCAGATGAAGGCCTGGAGTGGCTCCTCCGCAGACACTCCGCAAGGTAAGCAGAGACTGGCTCCAGGCAGAGTTGAGCAGAAAACAAACTTTCCAGGCACTTCCACCCCGCCCGGCCGGGTAACACCTCCCAGCCTCCTCCGCCCTCCGCGCTGTCAGAGCCCCAGCCACCCAGCGACCGGCGCAGCCGGGCCCTGCGCTCCCCGCTGCGGCCGAAAGGCGTCCTCTGCTGGCCCCCACAGTCCAGCCCGCCAGCCCGGCCGCAGGTGAGGCGCCGCCCGGGCCGAGGCACCCGGCCGCCCCTCCTCGCCGGACCTGGGCTGCCGCGGGGCTCGCGAATAACGGACCAGCGCGCACCACCGCCGTCGCGAGCTCACCAGCTGGCTGGTGGTCCTGGCCATGGGCCCCGCGTCGGCGCGGGCGCCTCCCCCACAGAGCTGCGCTCCTCGGCGACTCCTCAGCGTCCTCCTCCCCGCGGCGGAGCCCTAGCAATGGCCGCCCTCATCCTGTGCCCGCCCCGCCGTCCGCCACCCGCCGCCCCCGGCACCGCCCCGCCCCCGCGCGACGCAGGGTTGGACTTCCGCCGCGCCGCTGCCGCCTCCCAAACCCATTGGCCAAGCCCGCCATCGCTCGTCACGGGCGCCTCTATCCCTAGTCGCATTTCCGGATTGGGACCCGGCCCTCCCTGGGGAGGAGGAGACCGCGCAAACCAATCCCGGACCGCCAGGGCGGGGCCGGGAGGGGCGGACCGAGCTGTCATCCTTGCTTCCAGTTGGGGAAACTGAGGCTCGGTGCCCTCCTGGACAAGGTCAAGCCCAGGCAGTGGCGAGGCTGGGCTGGGACTCCGAGTCCGGGCTTGCCCTGCGTGCACGCTGAGTGCGATACGACGAGTTCCACGGTCACGCGTAATCACGTAGATTTGAGCTAACAGTCATTCATTAGGCGGAAACGCGCCGGCGGCAGCTGTCAACAGCAGCTTAGTGGCACTCTTGGAATTTTGTTTTGTTTTTGCCTGTAAATGTTTCGTGGGTTTTTTACTTATTGATTCTTAATGTTAATTAGGATAATTATAACGATGGACTTTTTATTTTCTAGACAGGGTCTCGCTAGGTGTTCAAGCTGGCTTGAACTCACTATGTAGCCACATACTCTTAGTGATCCTCCTGACACAGCCTTCCAAGTTCTGGGATGACAGGCATACGCCCACCCGTAATGATGCTTTTTAAAAGTTAGTATTATCCTTGTTACCTGCAGGCTTGCATCACAGTATTTTCTGCTGGGTTTTTGATGGTGGAGATTGAACCCAAGGCCTCACACATACTAATGCTAAGCATACACTCTACTACTAGTGGGCTACACCTGGTTCCTGCATATTTTTAAATGGTATTTTTTATTTCCTTTTTTTTTTTTTTTTTTTGGTATCAGGAATCGAACTCAGGACCTTGTGCTTGCCAGGCAGGCGCTTGTGCCACCGAGCTATAACCCCAGCCCAATTTTTTATTTCCAAAAGTACTGTTTTTTTTTTTTTTTAAATAAAAATCTTGCTGAACGTGGTAGTGCACAGGAGTTATTAAGGAGGGACAAGAGGATCACAAGTTTAACCTCAGCCAAGGCAATTTAGCTACAGCCTGTCTCAAAATTTTTCAACCAGGTGTGGTGGCACATACCTGTACTCCCAGTGCTCAGGAGGCTGAAGCAAGAGGATCACCAGGAGTTTGAAGCCAGCCTGGGCTACACATTGAGTTCAAGGCCAGCCTAAATTATGTATTGAAACCCTGCCTCAAAAAAAGTGCTGGGATGGAATGCAGTAGTAGGGCATTTGCCTAACATGAGTAAGGCTCTGAGGTTTAATCCCCAGTACTGTGAGAAAATAAAAATAATAAAAATATAGCCGGGTGTGGTGGTGCACACCTGTAATCCCAGCACTCAGGAGGCTGAGACAGGAGGATCGCTGCAAGTTTGAGACCAGCCTGGGCTACAAAGTGAGCTCAAGGCCAGCCTGAACTGCATAGCAAGACCCTGTCTCAAAAAGACCAAAATACATAAATAAATAAATACACAGATGAACCCAGATACAGTAACATGCACTTGTAGTCTCAGTAGCTTGAAAGGCTGCTCCACATGGAAAGCTAACAAAGAGACAATTAAAAAAATCCAAAACAACAGCTCTACCAGAAAGGAAGCGCAATCACAGTCCACACCTGCTTTCGTTCCACTCTGCTGCGTGCTATTCACATTTATGATCAAATACACTGACTCAACCAGTAATCAGTATACTCTGCCTGAACAGGAGACCAGTACTTGGGTAAGTTTGAGAGCGGAATCCTCATCTCTTCAATGGAAAGGTAACATAACCACAAATGAAGAGATAAAGAAATTTAGAAAGACAGACATAGGTAACAAGGAAAACATTTGGACCGGTAGTAAGCAGGATGTAAGTTCAGAGGAATAAGCCAGGAGCCACTATTTTTCATTATAAGCTTTTTAGAATTTACTCATTCTTGTATCCTCCCCACTACCATAATACTGGGGATTGAACCCAAGGCCTTTGCACTGAGCTATATCCCTGCCCCTTTTTATTTTGAGACAGGATGTTGCTAAGTTACCTTGGCTGGCCTTGAACTTGTTAGTTTGATTTGGTTTGGTTTGGTTTGAAATTTTTTGGTACCAGAAATCTGTTTTGTTTTGTTTTGGTTTTGGTTTTTTTTTTTTTTTTTTTTTTTTTGTTTTTGTTTTTTTTTTTTTTTTTTTTTTTTTGGTTTTTCTCCGATACCGGGAACCGAACTCACGACCTTGCGCATGCCAGGCAGGCGCTTTTGCCGCTGAGCTAAATCCCCAGCCCCTGGTACCAGGAATCAAACTTTTGACCTTACACTGGCCAAGTAGGCACTGGGCCCCTAAACTATATCCCAGGCCCTTTTGTTTTGAGACAGGGTCTCACTATGTAGTTCAGGCTGGCCTTGAATTCACTATATAGCCCAGCTATCTTAGAACTTGTAGTGATCCTCCTGCCTCAGCCTCCTAAGTGTTAGAATTACAAGCCTACACCACCAGGCCCAGCATTGCCTTGAACTTCTGAGCTTTCTTCCTCAAATACTATTTGTACTTGTGATCCTCCTGAGCAGCTGGGATTGCAGGTGGGCAGCACCACACCCAGACTATTTGAGCTCTTAAAACATTGATGAAAATAAAAGTTAATAAAATGGGAATGGACAGGGATGTAGCTCACTGGGTTGGGGATGTAACAGTGGTAGAGTGCTTGCCTCATGTGCAGGAGATCCCGAGTCCAATCCTTGGTACTACAAAAAAAAAAAAAAAAACCAGAATAACAATATAGATGTATATAACTTAAAATCCAACCTATGTTCATGACTGGGTATATTTCTCCCTCCCTCCCCACCACACACACAAAGATAGCCAGGCATGGTAGCATATACTTTGTAATCCCAGCACTCAGGAGGCTGAAGCAGGAGGATCACTGTGAGTGCAAGGCCAGCCTGGGTTTAGTAGTGAGTTCAAGGCTGGCCTGAACTACATAGCAAGACCCTGTTTCAAAAAACAAACAAACAAATGGCATATCTTCTTCCTGGAAATTCTTAGAACCTCTCACTTGTGCAAGAATATGAGTTACTGTACCAATTTGTAGTTCTTGAGTAATTCCCAGAGAAACGGAAGGAGGGAGGGCGAAGAGACTTGTGGAGAAGGTACACAGTGTTCAGGGGAGCACATGGAGCAGTGGGTGGAGGAGAAGCTGCCGGGAGTCTCAGTGGAAGGGGTGAGGGGAGGGGGGGAGGCCATTACCCTGAAGAAGCTAGCTGAGTCGGCAGCAGAGGGAGAATGGGGAGGGCACAGGGGAAGGCGAGGAAGGTCAGCTCTCAGTCTTCTGGGGGCCTGATGGCAGCCAGGTGAGACCCAGGCCAGGCCTGGCCAGGAAGCTCCTCTTACCCTGGAGCAGGAGGGCATGGGTCTGGCTGCCCATCCCAGGACAACAGACACTGGGCGAGCTCACACGGTCTGTCACCCAGGCTGTTCACTCGCTTTTCTCCCCTGCTTCCCTGCCTACAGCCTGTCTGCGGTTGAAGGACGGCATATAGCCAAGGGTACAGTGACTTGGCCAGACACTGTGGGGTGATGGAGGGAAAGGAGGATGCCTAGAACGTGATGGGGTGGGAGACCCCTGACATGCACAGAACACTGGCTGCACTTGGTATGCGCTCTCCCCTATAGGAAACAGGAACCTCTGTGCACTGATGATAGGCACGTGTCACTTCCACAACCTCATGGTATGTGGGGGTCCCCAGGGATCCCAGTGAGGGTGTTCTATTCCCACCTCTTTGTAACAAGTTGCCCCCAAACAGCAGACACTCATTATCTCCTGGTTTCTGGGAGTCCAGAACCAGCTAGGGGCCAGATCAGGTGGTCTGGTTCAGGCTCCCTCAGGGCTGAGACATCTGAAGGCTTGAGTGGGACCAGAGAAGCCACTTCCAAAAAACTGGTTCATTCCCAGGGCAATGGAGTGGCAACTGGCTCTCACCAGAGCAAGTGATCTGAGAGAAAAGAGGTCATACCAAAGCCGGAAGCTATGGTGCCTTTTATAACCTAACTTCAGAAAAGATAAACCATGCACCCAGAGACGATGTTAAGCGAAATAAATCAGACCCACAACTTTAAATATCACATGATTTTCCCTATATGCGAAACTCAAGATATAAATAAAGAGCAAAATAAAGGATAGGTAAAAGTAAGTAGGGAGATCTTTTTCTTTCCCCCCCCTTTTTTTTTCTTTTCCCTTCTTTCTTCCTTCCTTTATTTTTTTGAGACAGGGTCTTGCTATGCAGTGCAGGCTGGCCTCAAACTCATGGCAATCCTCCTGCCTCAGCCTCCCTGGGATTACAGGCATGTACCACCATTCTCGGCTGATCTTTTTCAAATAGAAAGGGGAACAAGAGATGGGGGGAGGGGAAGATTTAAAAAAAGAATCAGGCATGGTGGTGCACACGTATAATTCCAGCGCTAGGGAGGCTGAGGCAGAAGGATCACTATGAGTTTCAGGCTAGCCTGGGCTACATAGTGAGCTCAAGGCCAGCCTGAACTACATAGAGAGACCTTATCTCAAAATGAAAGGGTGGGGAATAATCAACGAAAACTCAAAATAGAGCTTTTTCAAATGGGGAAGGGATCAAGAGTTGGAGGGAAGCCAGGCATGGTGGCACATGCCTGTAATCCCAGCACTCGAGAGGCTGAGGCAGGAGGATCGTTCCAAGTCTGAGACTAGCCCGGCCTACAAAGTGAGCACAAGGCCAGCCT